CAGGCAGACAGACAGACAGACAGACAGGCAGGTCCTGTCTCACCGGCTGCAGTCCCTCTGCCATCTCTCCAGAGCCGATGTGTGTGAGGTGAATGAAGTTCGTCGGCTCTCCGATCATACTGCGATCAATCTTCCTCCTCTTCTTCTTCTGCACACACACACACACACACACAGACACACACACACACACACAAAATATTATATCTTATATAAAATTATTCAAAATAATAAATTCAGGGACTGTGTGCTGCGTTCAGGGACTCTGTGCTGCGTTCAGGGACTCTGTGCTGCAATCAGGGACCCTGTGCTGCGTTCAGGGACTCTGTGCTGCGTTCAGGGACTCTGTGCTGCGTTCAGGGACCCTGTGCTGCGTTCAGGGACTCTGTGCTGCGTTCAGGGACTCTGTGCTGCCTCATTAAAACCCCATTGTGGTCCCAGAGTCCAGTTAATCTGCTCGAACCTCGGAGCCACAATCAGAACCATTTAGATCTGATTTAAGAGGCTTATGTTGGTCGGGATTAATCGGAGCTCTTATGTAACACACTGCGGCGAGACAGACGCGGTCAGGACCAAGAGTTTGGGTCAGTGTGCAGATGTTCCTCAAACCAGCTGCTTAGTTTCTCTGACCTTTGACCTCCATCCGGCTGAGCAACTCTATAAAGGTCTGTTGCTAGGAAACATCTGCACCAACAGTTACAGTCAGAGGTTGCTGGTTGAATTCTCTCACAGTCTCTCTGTTTAATACACTGATTATTGATTATAGATTATTGATTTAATAAAGCTCTCTCTGTCTCACTTTCACAACTTCCTCTTTGTTAAAATGTTTCTCGGCTCATTGATCCTGTAACAGACTCCACCCTGATTCTGAATCTGCTCAGTGTGAGACGTCCCTAACGTAGCGAGAGACAAATGAATAAGTCATCCAGCTGTGTGAACATCTGTTTTCTATGGAAGCTCTTTTCTGCCAACGTGACAAAAAGGATTCTGTGACTTATAATCTCCAAATAATGAGAAAACTTCTCAAACCAGCCGCCTGCCCCCGAAACCACAAAGGTAAAATACTTTATTATTATTATTATTATTATTATTAGGTGTCTCTATGTGGACGGAGGGCGTCGGCCTGCAGGAGGTCACAGTGAAACAGGAAGAGGAAGTTGTGCCACCTGTTTCCTCTTGAGTAACTTCCAGCAGCTGAGGCGTTCACTGACCTGACGAGGTGGAGGAGATTTTAATGCTGAGCTCAAATAAAAAACACAAATTCTAGACAACATTAGAAACATTTTCAACTGGAAGAGAGAAACCCTGCAGCCAGCGATGGAGTGCGGCGAGCCGCCAACGTAACCGAGCTCAGCAGCGTCTGCGGACACGCTTACATAACCACAAAGAAAAACTGATCGGATTCAATATAAATACAAAGAAACTGAGTTTTTTGGATGTGATCCATTTTTTATTTCATCTTCTGACTGAGGGGAACCAATGCTAACTCAGTGCTAACATGCTCACTGAGGATCCTCCCAAGAAAACGAATGTGTGTCTCACCGGCGGGGGTTTGGCCACCACGCAGCAGCCCATCTTGTGCCAGAAGTCGCTCATGCCGACGCCTCGCCGGTCCAGCAGCCGGCCACCGCTCTCTGCTGCCGCCCTGTGGGCCGGGGGAGGAACTGCAGCCTGCGGGTAGTCCTGGGGCATCCAGACAAGAACTGCACCAGCAAAGGATCAAAACCCCCAAATAGACCCCACCTCAGACTGAGACCCGCTGAAGGACTCCAGGAGGTTCCGACTGAAGAAGAATAAAAACTGAATATCCACAAGTTCTGACAGGAAAGTGTTAAATTCACTGGAGCGTTAAATCCCACAAAAAGACCAAAATCCAAAATCCGCTGAGAAGAAAATAAAAAAATCCACGATTTAAAATCTTCGGGTTCGATCTGTGGAGACAAGAAACATTTTTACTGCCTCATTTCAATTCTTTACTTTTCATTTAAACTTAAAAAGTTAAATTATTGCACTTCCTGTTTATTGCATTAATAAAAGTCAGAAAATATATTCAAAACAGTTGTTTGTAAACATTTTCCAGCAGGTTTTTAATTTGGATAAGATTTTTATTTTCCTGCTATGACGCATTAATATGGAGGCTTTTATTTTGGAAGGTAAAATAACTTTTTTACAAAGTTGTGATAATTTAACTGAGATCAGTTATAATGTGTCTGTTCAGCTGAGGCTTTTATTTTGGAAAGTTAACATGAAGATTCCTGCAAAATGATGTCATCACTCTTTAACGCTCAGAAAGTCTTCGTTCAACAGCAGGAAGCAAATAAACATCAGTGAACACTGGGTGTGGTCCACACACACACACACAC